CTATTTTCAAGCCACAATTGGAAATACCAAGTTTGTTTAATAGGTTAATTTAAACCACTAAGCTAACTTTAACCAAATCAAGTATTTAAATAATGATGAAAAACTAGTAAAATTTTAGTCATGATTCTTCTGTTGTAGTGAAAATATTAACATTATTCTTCTTTTTTTTTCCCCGCGGAACCAGGGATTGAACCCAGGTCCTTGCACTTGCCAGGGAAGCCCTTATTCCACTGAGCCATCTTCCCTGCCCAGCATTATTCTTTAAAATGACACTTGAGGCTGTATATATGAAACTAAGCAAAGTTCCAAGTGTCATTTTTAGAAGAAAGAGCAAGTATAAATAAGATACCAAATTATTTAGTGCACAAGAAACCTCTAATATCAGCATTGTCTTTTCACTCTTTATTGCCCAAATATGTTACAAGGGTCAATATTCCTGACTACTACACACTTCCCTCTAATTCCTGCATAACCCAGTGCCACCCATTAACTTTTCTATGAGTTCTATTAATATCTCAATAGGTAAACTGGACATGAAGTAAGACCCAATCTCGTGTCTAAGAGGACTTTGAGTTTTCAGTACTTCAACAAAGAAGAAGAAAACACTTAAAGGGAAGAGCTCCAGGGAACGTTATGCACATCCTTGAATGGAATAATGAAAGGTCGAGGTAGGAGGGCAGTTCATCTATGAAGCTGGATTAGCATGTATTGTGATGTCACAGTATTTCTGTAATTGCTTAAGGATGGACAAAAGAGACTTCACTTTGAGAAAAGACCTCAGGGATGTCTCCTTGTGGTCTGTTGGCCCTACCTCTAAGCTATAACATGAGGACACTAAAGTGTCACAAAGTGCTCCTGAACATGTCACAGGTCAGCCTCTCCTCTCAGGAACAGAAAGACTGGCTTCAAGAAAACAGCTCTGCATAACACTGGAGAAGAAAATGTCCTTGGAAATAATGTCACAAAGACATAAACAAATGGCAAAGATGACTTAATATGGCTTCGGCCCACCCTGTGTTCCGCTGCTGACTTGTTCGGAATAATTTTAGCAACTTGTTCTCTGTGATTTACTGATATTGAGTCATTCTTTCTAGTTATGAGAAGCTGTTTTCACAGTCACGTGTAACTGCAGTTTGCTGCATCACACAGCCTCATGGAGGCGGCAGCGTTGAGTCAGAGGGGCTCAAATCTACACGCTGAGCCCGGGGAGCGCCCGCTCCTGAGTTACCTTTTCAGTTTGAAGCTAGGGACAAGGTTTCTCAGGAACATATTAATGGCAGTCCTAACTGATTTCCAAGACTGGCGAGAAGTTCTTACAAGTGTCACTCACTCGAGGAAGAAGCTAGGGTGACTTCTCAGCCAAGAACTCATTCTGAGAAACATTTATGTTTTGTTGCTAAGATGACAAAGACTCTCAAGGCAGAAGAGCTACTTTACATGTGGAAAGTGTTCATGACTAATGATTGGGAAAATGGGCCAGAAGCACTTTTTCCCTTTATTAAACACATGCTATTTTTTCCTTTTGTTCTTCCTTCCAACACCTTCTCTGAAAAACCCTGAGATGAAGAAAATCCAGCCCCTTGAACTATGGAAAGTGATTGTAGCTCATAAGAGAGAACATTCATAAATTCAAAAATATAAGCAAGCCCAATCTAGAAACTTTCATGGAAACGTTGTAAATGTTACCAGTCTAAGATTTCTATTTTAAGGTCTCCTGAGAAACACAGCACTTGAACTGCACCGTTAGCATCACTGCTTTCTTATTCCCAAGTGGCTTTCTTCCTTCTTTCCTTGAACTTTCAGATGAATGCCATAATCAAGTAGAAAATGCACCCTTCGACAGACTGTTGTTTGCAGACAGAAGACACTAAAGGACCGTGGATACCGTTTCCATACTGCGCTAAAAAAATGTTTTTACCTAAAGTCCTATGTTCAGGAAATTTTGTAGCTTTTCTTTTTTTTTTTTTTTCCATAATTTTATTGAGAAACAAATAGCAATGAGACAGTTTCAAACCAAATTGGTAGGGCAGTTTCAATAATTAACACATTGCATGCATTCTTCCTAGTGGTTAATTGCTGTACAAGATGCGGACATAGGAATCAATAACACATGGTTTTCAGAGCAGATGTCTGGATCTGAGTCCTTATTCTGTCCCTTATGAGCTCTATATGTTCAGACCCATTATTTGAGCTCTTTGTGCCTCAGTAGCCTGGTTGGTACAAAAGGGCAGTAAGCTTAGATCATGCCTCTAAGGGAGGTGCTGGCATGAAATGAGTGTTTAGAACTGTATGGAACATGGGAAATATATAGTAAATGTTAAGTATTATTTTAGAAGTTTCAAAATAAATGATCCTCTTTATGCCCACTAGAAAATGTAGAATAACCAGATTTTAGGATGTTTTGCATAATTTATAATAGTAGTTCCTTTAAAACATTTTTTAATAAAATGATAGTGGGTGAAAAGAAATAGGCCACTATCCCCTATAACATTATTCCAGGCTAAGGAAGGAAGCAGTTGACATCTTCAGATTGTAGAAGTACATTGCCTGAAGCCTGGCTTTTAAAACAATGCACTCATAAATACACAAATTGAAAAATAACTAATGATCAATCAATGTGTCCTGCATCTCTTGCTAATAATAAAAAACAATAAAAATAACATAGAAAACAGTAATAGTCTCTAAAAAAAGACTCAAGATATCACTTAACTGAATTTTTAAAATTCAAAATGAACTGTATATATTCACTTAATGATAATTTTTTTATTAAAACCTAAATGGTAATCTTACATCATGTGTACTTTATCATTGTCAAATTTTTAACTTAAATTTTTTTCGTTAAAAAATTGAGAAACTGATAAAATATTCAGACATTTTTCAAAAAATGACTTCTTTATGATTATATTGTGAAAGTCACAAGGCAGAGCAGTTATGTCAGAAAAATTATTACTAACTCCCCAAAGTCACTTGACTCATAATTTACTAATAACTAATACATTGCAGGACTTAAAGTCTAAATTTTATGAAATAAATTTGATTTTTCATCTAATATAAGTCTGTCAGACATAAAAAGAAGTGATTACATGATGGCAGCTCTTCATGGACCTGTCTCCAGGTAGCCCGGATGCTCCAGCCAGATTAGAAGGCCGTCCACACTACACCTAGCCCAGCACCTCCACCCTTCTCTGGAGCTCTGGGGATCGGCCTCGGCCTCTGACTCAGGCAAGCCACAATGCCAGGCTTTAGCTGTCATCTCCAAAAAGTTAGGCCAGTATGATTTTTAACATACTGTTCTTTTATTTTTTTTTTATAATTTTAATGAGAAACAAATAACAATGAAACAGTTTCAAAACTGATTAGTAGGACAGTTTCAATAATTAATGCATTGCATATTGTTGTCTTCTTAGTGGTTATTCATAGTACAAGATGCAGACATGATATCCTGTCCACAAACACCATTAGTACAAATCTTTCTATTCAATTGAATTAAGAGAAAGTAGCTGTATATCTATCCTAACTATTTTGAATATACAGATACAAAATGGTCCTTTATTTGTATCCCCTTTTTTTGTTTAGTTTTGTCAGAGAAGAGTATTCCATTGTCATTTAAATATCGTAGGTGTGTGCATTCAGCAAAGTATTCCAATATAATCTAGTAGTCCATAACAGTAGTGGGTTGTCCATAGGACTGGCAAGGTCAGAAGTTGTTGACTTTATGACTCAAACATTCTATAATTTTATCACTGAGACCATCTGCTCTGATCCCTAATTTTAAGCCTAAAAGTATCATCTTAGTAAGAAAAGAATTCAGGAAGTGTGCATATACTGTGCAAATAACTTTTTTCTTGCTTCAGGGTTTTACCTCTATGTGGTACAATTTTATTAAAACCTCTACTCAGTATTCAGCAGGGCCATTTCTTTCTCCCAGAGAGAATTAATCATAGGCAAAGGCAAGAAAAGACAGTTTCTTCAGATGAAGTTCAAGCACGCTCCCACTGAGAAGCCCATTCTATTTTAATTTGCCAATTAAAAGTAGCCTGGGAAATCTCAAACTGTCATTATCTCATTAAAAATACATACGTGTCACTCCCTTTCCTCCATCTGGAAAATTAACATTCAAGTAACCCAGTTGCTCCCTACAATTTAAATTTAATACCACCCTTAAAAGACTGGCTTTCTGCAGGATCCGTGGAGGACAGCAGCTACTGCAGTTAATAACTGCCACACGTCGTTCGCAATAGCCACCTCTGAGTCCACTATTTCTAGGATATGTACTATGTCCGTAAAATTTACTAAGCAATGAGAAGAGTTTAAAGGATTTCTTCTAGAAAATGAATGGCCCTTCTCTTGGGAAAGGAATTCTTATAAACAGGTCTTTTTAAATCAAATTTTTGTTTGTATTTGTACATGTTTGCAGTTCGTTCTATTTAACTTTCTATTCCACCCTCCCTATCTGGTTTGCCCAAGGGGCCAGGGAGACGGCCAGTGGAATAGCTCAGTTTACCTGGCAAGTGTAAGGTCCTGAGTTTGATCCCTGGTACCACCAAAAAGAACTTAGTCCTATCTGGTTGGCCTGATGATCTGTGGCATGATTTTACTGCTTGATTTCTATTAGCGCAACAGTTATAAATTTCATTCCCCTATAAACTGCCTATTTAAATGACATTACCTGTGAGACATGAAGAGACTCGAATTGTTACTTGATACAATTTTCAGTTTCTAATAAACCATAAAATAATGAAAATTCATAAAGAAGAAACAGTTGCAATTCTAGATAATGGCTTATCTTTAATAATGCCCTCTTGATAATAAAAGATAAAGCTAAGTCAGTGACTTCTTGCATACACTTGAACTGGCTTCTATGTATTCACCTGCAGGTTATTCAGTATTTCCAAAGTTACTTCCTCAACATCCATTGATTTCAGCCTAATAAAAACACACGTTAGTATAATGCACAAGGGGAAAAGCCATGCTTATCTTTAACCACTGGATAAGTTTACCTTATTGCCTTGAAATCCCTTTGGGCCTGGATCCCCTGGAGGTCCACTAATGCCCTGTTCCAAGACAAAGACAAAAAATTAGTTCTGTGCACAAAAGGCCAACCAATCACGAATTGTTCTTTAGGGTTCCTCAGATCCTGGAGTTAGAAATCAGGCTGATGGCTCAGTGCTCTTTTACAATGGCATTCAAAGGAGAAACCTAATGACGTAATATCTTGAGTTAAACAAACAACATCTAAAAATAATAATTATCTACACTTTATGTCTCTAAGAGTTCTACCAATTCTATCTTCCAGCAGATTTAGTGTTTCTCTCTTAATCTTTAAGTCTTTGATCCATTTCAATTTTAGCTCAGTGTAGGGTGACAGCTATGGGTCTAATTTTAGTCTTTGGCTTATAGAAAGTCAGTTTTTCCAACACTGTTTATAAAAGAGGCTATCATTCCTCCCCTCAAGGTGTTTGGCCCCTTTGTCAAGGTCAAGGCACCCTGAATGTGTTTGGAATTGTTTCTGCGTTTTGTAGTCTGTTCCGTGGAACCTTGGGGTTCCGTTTTTTTATCAGCAGTGTGCTATTTTTATCATTATGTTTTTGTACTGTCATTTCAAATCAAAATTGTGATGCTCCCTGCCTTCCCTTCATCACCCAGAGTTGTTGTTGCTATTATAGGTCTCTTCTGGTTCCAAGTAAAATTTAGGATTGTTTTCTCTAATTCTATGAGGTATATTATTGGTATTTTGATCAAGATTGCATTAAATTTTGAAAGTATGGCCACTTTCCCTACATTGGGTCTTCTTACCCACGAACAAGGAGTGCTTTCTATTCTTTGAGCATTCTTTGATCTCCTTTTTCAGAATACTATAGTTTTCAATGTATAGGTCTTTTACTTCCTTTGTTAGCTTGATTCCTAAGTACTGGGTGGGCTGTGGGGTAAAAGGAATCTACTCCACTATTAGTAGGAGTGTAGACTGGTACAACCACTATGAAAATCAGTGTAGAGATTCTTCAAAAACCCAAAACTAGAGATTCCATTTGACTCAGCTATTCACATTCTTCCTGAAAGAATTAAAATCATTGTACCACAGTGACATATGTGCACCCATGTTTATAGCAGCACAGTTTGTAATAGCTAAATCTTGGAAACAACCCAAATGACCATCAGTGGATAATGGATAAAGGAAATGTGGTTTATTTATATGGTGGAGTACTATTCGGCCATAAAAATGGATAAACTTGAGACATTTCTAGGTAATGGATGCACTTGAGACCACACTCTCAAGGGAAGTAAATCAGGCACACATGTTCAAATGTTGCATGGTTTGTCTGGTGTGAGAAATCAAAGTGTACATATGGACCAAAATATAGAATAGATATTGTGACATAGAAAGAAACTGTTCAAATGGGAAAAGAAACTGGGGAGAGGGAGAGAAAAGGAAAAAAAAAACAGGATAGAAGGAAAAATGGAAACAAGCTTTTATAAATGAGGAGAAGAAGAGGGGTTGAAGGAGAGGAGGGAAATGGGAGAAAAAAGAAGAACCAAGATGTATCATGTACAGGTACAAAGGCCTTCTGATGAATGCTAGTATCATTGGAAAAATGCAGCAATAAAATTAATTTTAAGAATAAATAAACTAGAAATTATGCTAACAGCAAACATTTTATTAATGAAGTGTTTGTGTTTGTTTTTGTTTTTGTTTTGGCGGAACCGCGGATTGGACTCAGGCCCTGTGGGCTTGCCATGGAAGCGTTTATTCTATTGAGCTATCTCCCCAGCCCCAAAGTATTCAGTGAGCCTGTCGCAACCAGAGTTAAGGCCTCACTCTGAAAATTCCAAGCCAAAGCCTAAAGGTGTCAGTTAACTGACTACTGTCTAGGAAAAGTGTGGGTAAAATTTTCAGCAGGTTGTGGAAATGCAAGGGTTTTTATCAGAACCAGGGATTGAACTCAGGCCCTTGTGCTTGCCAGGCAAGTGCTTATTCTACAGAGCCATCTCTCTGGCCCAGGTTGTAGAAATACAAAAGTCACTCTTTCCACATATATTCATCCACTGTAACTTTTGTAAATGAGGAGAAGAGGGGTCGAAGGAGGAGGAGGGAAATGGGGGGAAAAAAGAAGAATCAAGATGTATCATGTACAGGTACAAAGGCCCTCTGATGAATGCTATTATCATTGGAAAAATGTAGCAACAAAATTAATTTTAAGAATAAATAAATTAGCAATTATGCTAACAGCCAACATTTTATTAATGAAATATTTTTTAAAAAGTATTAAAAAAAATAAGGCCCTAGCCTGGGAAAAAGTGACCAAAATCTTTTTCTGAATCTTGTGCTCTCTTTGGCAGCACGTACTGAAATCTGTAGCCTACATTCAAGTTAAGTAAGTGCCTTAAAGAATTGCCCCATATTACAGAGCATTAACTATGTTTAGTGGTAGAATCTAAATAGTCTACCTTAGATAAGATGCAGAAGTCTTCCAACTGTATTACAGGCAGCAATGCAAACTAATTACATCCTGCTTTTAGCTATTTTGCCGTTCTTCATCTACCTAGACTAATCTTTATCCCTTTAGCTACTTTCTAAGTTGGTTTGCCTGCTGGTAACCATCTTTGGGGAGCATAAGGTCATCAAAACTATATGTGAACAACTTCCAACCCATACTGAACACTGGAAATCTCTGAGAGCCTTACACAATATTGGTACCTGGCTCTAGTTCCCAGATATCCTGCTCTAATTGGTAGAGGATATAAGTAGGGAAAGGGACTTTCAAAAAGTTTTCCAAGTTATATTAATCCACACTTTGGTTTGGTTTTAGCCTCCTTACCTGAAGTCCTCTGGGTCCCTTGGGTCCATCTGGGCCTGAAGCTCCCTAAAAAATAAAATGAGTGGTGAGTCTCCTTTAGTAGCTGTCTCCCAGCTACAAGGAGTTTAGGTGGGAGGAAAGGAATGTGTCTTGGGTAACGACCAGTCTTTCCTGTTATCCAAACACCAATGCCAACAAACTAAAATTATGCTAATGAAGAAGAGATTTCGAAGTCAAACTTTGCTTTTTTTTTTTTTTTTTTTTTTTTTTTTTTTTTAGGGACAGGTCTACAGGGTGTTCAGGGTCTCACAACAGATCAGACTCATAGTGATCCACCTATTTACAGCCTCCCAAGAGTTGGGACTACAGGCATGCACCGCCACGCCCAGTCTCAATTGCTGTCTCAGCGCACCCCGGGGGCAGGGCCGATGGCAGGCCCGGGGATCAACCCCCCAGCCCCTGAGCCTGTGAACTTTGTTTTGATAAACTTGATGAACATAGAGTTTTACATATCACTTGGGACCTTTACAATAACACTGTAACCAGAGTAAAGAAATTACTTCATAAAATTCCTTAGAAGACTGTAAATTTAGCAAAATATTATTTGTTTCCATAAAGCAACATCACTAAATTAGCAATTTAATGAGTTTCCCATATATATATATATATATCATCCTAAAGACACAAAACTTGGCAAAACACTATTTAAACTCAACACTCTTCTAAAATAAAATATTTCACTATGTCCCATAATTCAGAAACCCTTCATTTTATGGAGCTATCATGTAGCCCATTTCTCTTTGCTTCAAACCTCCACTTTTTTCAAGAAAATTAATAATCCAGAATAGGTACTTATCATAATTTATTCACTTCCCTAGTTTTTAATATTACAGTATTTCCAGTTATATCTATTTTCATTAATACTGTAATGAATATACTTTGTGTATAAGTCTTTGTCCAACTCCTGCTTCATTTCTGAAGACAGCATCCTAGACGACTGAAGCAGACTACAAGCATGTTCACAGCTCCCTATTTGTCTGCTTTACTGCTCAAGGCATACCTGGAAGGAGAGGAACTTCCTTAGCAAAAGTCTGTTATCAGTCTTCTGAGTGTGTCCCGCCTGAACAAGAAAGCCTGCATCTTCAGCTTAAGGAGTCCCCAATAAGACTGTGGATCAAAGACTACCTTAGTGGCTACTGATCTGATACACAAGTAGTATTATTCAGCCTTCTGATTGCTAGTGTGTTTGGAATTTCTTCTAATTAATTAGTCACTTATATTTCTTCTGCCATGTCTCTTCATACTCTGCATGTATGTATTTTTCTTCTTCTCCTTCTCCTTCTCCCTCTCCTTCTTCTTCTTTTTAGTACTAGGAACCAAAGAGCTTCGCACTTGCCAGGCAGGTTCTGTGCCACTGAACTATATCCCCAGCCCTATAGTTTTCTTGCGAATTTGTGTGAACTCTTCACATCAAGAACATGAACCGGGGAGATGGCTCAGTAGAATAAGCGCTTCCCTGGCAAGTGCAAGGGCTTGAGTTCAATCCCTGGTTCCACCAAAAAAAAAAAAAATCTATTTGGGGCCGGGGAGATGGCTCAGTGGAATAAGCACTTCCCTGGCAAGTGCAAGGGCTTGAGTTCAATCCCTGGTTCCACCAAAAAAAAAAAAAATCTATTTGGGGCCGGGGAGATGGCTCAGTGGAATAAGCACTTCCCTGGCAAGTACAAGGGCCTGAGTTTAAGCCCCAGTTCGGGGAAAAAAAAAAAAAATCCATATGTTGCACTGGCCCCACTCCTGGGCACACTAAGCCAGCCACTGAGACCAGACCTGGTGGCACAGGACTGTAATCGCAGCATTGGGGAGGCGGAAACAGGAATATCATTATGAGTCTGAGCTGCGTAGTGAGAACCTGTACCAAATACATGAAATAAAAAGAAAAGCTTTGGATGGTCTATAAGAAAGGCATCTGGGGCTCCACTAACTTCATGATTTACAGGTGTGAAAAATGAGCCCTTCGTGGGGGAACTCCTATGATAAGAGCTACATAATTCATCTGAGGAATTTCCTTTTAAGGAAACTCAGCCCAAAAGAAGCACTCCTTTTATCATTTAAAAATCATATTCATTGCTTACTTTGTCACCTTTTATTCCTGGTTTACCACATTCTCCTCGTTCACCCTGAAAAAAAAGAAAAGAAATAAGAGGGCATTTCCACTCATCCCCCACTAGGATTTTGTTTAAAGATCCCCAGCAGAACCATATGGCACAGGCTTGTCGTATGATTTCACAGTTTTGCAGTCAGTACCATAGTTGAGTGCGCACTGAAAGCTGGAAAGTTTTGCTCATGACTCATCCTTCACTTGACCGAATCAAGTCCGTGAAGCCGCCTAACGAGGTTTGACATTTTCAAGAGATGGGTAAAATTAGAAGGAAAAGTGAGCATCTGCCACACGTTAAAAGGTCCTTCTGCATATGTGCTCTAAGTGGATCCACGTTATGACCCAAAGAAGTCAGTGCTACAGTCCTTATAGCTGGGAACATCAGAGCTCACTGCAATAACTCCCCGCAGTCACACAGCTAATAAGTAGCAGGATCAAGATCTACACTCAGCTCTCGTGTAGCGCAGCACCATGCTCCAGCCTACGTACCAGTCCTAATCAGTTAGGGGAGCTTCTTGGAGAACCATGGGAGAACGCTTCTGAGACCAGGCTGTCACAGCTTGGGGAGGGTGCCACACGGGTCAGCCAGGTCTGCATGAGTGGTAAGCATGGCACACACAACCCAATCTACAGTGCTGCCTTCTCTCAATGATCACTACAAATTCACATTACAAGGGTTGGGGAGATAGTTCAGTGGAATAAGTGCTTGCCTGGCAAGCGTAAGGTCCTGAGTTCGATCCCTGTTACCACCAAAAAAAAAAAAAATCACATTAGAACTACACTTCATGGGGCTTGAGGTTTAGCTCAATGGCACAGCACCCACCTGGCAAGTGTGAGGTCCTGAGTTTAATTCCTGGTACCTCCTCCGCCGAAAGAAAGAACTATGTTTCAGAGCTTATGAACACTATTTTACAGACATTGTTTGGCATTAACTATCTGCAATAGATACTATCAACTCAACTTTACACAATGAAAATTGTGATTCAAGAAAGCCAATGTAGGGGCTCAGGAGATGGCTCAGTAGAATAAGTGCTTCCCTGGCAAGCACAAGGGCCTGAGTTCAATCCTTAGTTCCAGGGGGGAAAAAAAAAAAAAAGAAAGAAAAGAAAGCCGATGTATACATTATGGAATATTAGTCTGTAAAAAGAAAATTTTATCATTGTGACAATCCAGACAAACTTGGCAAATATGTTAAGGGAAATAAGCCAAATGTAGAAAGAAATGCATGAAACAGATTCAAACAATGTAGATTCACTTTTACATGGAATCTAACAAAGTTGTGCTCATTAATACAGAGTGCAATGGTGGTTACTATAAGTAACAGAGTTTTGGGGAGCTGTAGTTTAAGGATACAAAATTTAAGTTGGGAGCAGTAGACTCAAGAGTCCTGTAGTAGACTGTGGGCCTTGGTCTCTTCCTTTTCCTCTTTCAGATCCCTAGTTGTGAAACAAGTGTTTTGGAATGGCCTGCGGGACGCCGGAGGGCTGTAATGTGTGGTCCCAGCAAGCACAGGTGCAGGGCTTAATGGTACCACTTCAGCACTCTGGTGACCTCGCAGCAGCACGTGAGACTGGTAAATTCTGACCTCCATTAGCTCCCAGCACACAGGTGTGGAGCTTCTGCTGGTACCTCTCCAAACCTTTAAGCACTTAGAAGGACTCTGAGTGCCCTTCAGGACACAGGAGAGCTACAGTATGCTAGCCCAGCTCCCGCAGGTACTCTCCTGGAGTCATTTAAGAACTTTGGCCAACTCTGGGCAACCTGCAGGACTCTGTCTGGGTGATTACTGGGAGCTTCAAAAATGCCAAAACACAGGAGTGAAAAGGCAATCGCAGTCCTCTAGCCCACCCAGAGCAAATCCAGGAGACAAAGACATTCAAGAACTTGGAAATCACACACCTGAAATCTCTGAAATGATGGCAACTAAAATAAAGAAACAAATCCATCAGTCTATAGAAGAAAAAAGAATAGAAATAATCTCTCAGATCCAAAAGGAAAGGACAATACTCATAAAAGAATTGCTCAGCACAGCTAAAGAAAACATAGATAGAAAAATAGAAGAGTATATAAAGATAATGGAAACACTACATGAACAATACAGGAAAGAATCAGAATGCACGAAACAGATTCAAACAGGATGTTAAAAATTTCACTGAAAGCTGCCAAAACTGCTTGAATGAAACTGAAGGTAGACTTTCAGACCTCAAAGACAGTGGTACAGCTAACGAACATGAAACAAAAGATCTCTTAAAACTAATGAGGAACCAGGAAATAATAATTCAACAGCTATACGACAATGCAAAGAAAAATAACATAAGAATAATGGGTGTCAGTGAAGAAGCAGGAGACAGCACATATAACACAAAATGACTATTTTCAGAAGCACTACGGGAAAATTTTCCATACATGAGAAAAGAACTAACATGTGGATTAGTGAGGCATATGGAACTTCATATAACCATAATTACAATAAATCTATGCATAGGAACATAATAATAAAGATCTCAGAAATTCAGCAAAAGAATAAAATATTAAAAACTCTAGAGAAAAGAAACAGATTGCCTACCATGGAAAGCCCATCAGAATCTTGGCAGATTTTTCAACACAAACCATCAGATCAAGAAGAGCTTGGAGTGAAGTATTTCAGGTTCTGAAAGAAAATAGCTTCCAACCCAGATTGATGTACCCTGCAAAGCTATCTATCAACTTCAATGGGAAATAAAATCCTTGCATGACAAAGAACAATTGAAGAAATTCATGACTACTAAACCAACTCTACAAAGAGTACTGATAGACATTTTAGAAAGAGACAGAACTGATCACAACTTCAAGAATATCAGAAAGGAACCACCAAATAGAGCAAGTAATTAAAAAGAGAGAAAAATTATGGAGCCTATAACAGGAAAATAACATGACAAAAATAATCCGATACACATCAGTTATAACCATCAATGTAAACAGACTCAATTCACCAATCAAAAGAAGCAGACTAGCACAGTGGATTACAAAACAAAATCTAACAATATATTGTGTACAAGAAACACATTTAACTCAAAAGGAAATTCACAGACTAAAAGTCAAAGGATGGAAGACAATCCTCCATGCCACAGGAAATCAGAAAAAAGCAGGGGTAGCTATGCTGGTTGCTGACAATATCAACTTCAAACCAAAAATCATGCAAGTAGATAAAGGTCACTACATACTTGCTAAGGGAAAACTGCAAGAGGAAAGGATTTTCCTATGTCAGACAAATTTTAACAGACAAATTTAGGAGCACCTTCCTATGTCAGACAAATTTTAACAGACATGAAAATCAAATGGGCAATAACACAATAGTAATGGAGCACTTTAACACACCACTATCACAAAGAGATAGATCAACTAGGCAAAAAGTCAGGAAATAAATAACAGAACTAAACCAAACTTGTGAAGAAATTGATTTGGTGAACTTTTATAGAATGTTTCACCCAGCAACAACAGAATACACACTCTTCTCAGCTGCATACAGGATATTCTCCAAAATAGACCATACAGTAGCACACAGAGCACTCTTAAGTGAATGCAAAGCAATCGAAATTATCCCATGTCTACTATCTGATCACAGTGCAATAAAACTGGAAATCATTGACAAAAGAAACTACAAAAACACCGTAAATACATGGAGATTAAATAACAACCTCCTAATCAGAGTGTCATAGATGAAATTAAAGAAGAAATTAAAAAATGTTTACACTCAAACTAAAATGCAGACACTACTTACCAAAACCTGTGGGATGCAATGAAAGCTGTCTTAAGAGGAAAACTTATAGTGATCATTCGCACTTAGGAAAACAGAGCAATCCCAAATAAATGATCTTACGCTTTACCACAAGCACCTAGAAAAAGAAGACCAGGTCAAGTCCAAAGCCCAAAGAAAGCAAGAAATTACAAAAATTAGAGCAGAAATTAATGCAATGGAGATGAAGAAAACAATACAAAGAATAAATGAATCAAATAGTTGGTTCTTTGAAAGAATAAATAAAATCAATAAACCTCTAGCCAACCTAATCAAAAAACAAAAGAAAAAACACAAATTCATGCAATAAAGAATGAAAAGGGCTAAATCACTACAGATGTTAGAGAAATTAAAATGATCAGCAATACTTGTTTCCAAAATCTTTACTCTTGTGTGCCTGGGGAGAGTCACATGGAGAGAAAAACATTTTCTCAGGCTTTCACAGAGAGCAAATTGGTCAAGCAATGGTTGTGACTCATCCTCATGTCTGACACTGAAAAAAGGATGAAAAAAAAATCTTTACTCTCACAGGATGGAAAACACAGAGGAAATGGACAGTTTCCTAGATTTGAGTCAAGAAGATATATGAACTCAGAATAACACAATAATAAGAAACAAAATTGAAAATGTGATAAAAATCCTACCAACAAAGAAAAGTCCACATGCCAATGGATTCACAGCTGAATTCTACAAATTTAAAGATTTAATTGACAACTTTTCTCAAACTCTTCAATAAAATTGAAAGGGAAGCAATTCTCCCAAACTCATTCCTGGAGGCAAGAATTACTCTGATTCCAAAACCAGAGGAAGATTCAACTAAAAAAGACAACTACAGGCCAATGTCTCTAATGAACATAGATGCAAAAATCCTCAATAAAATACTAGCAAGCAGAGTGGAGCAAATCATCAAGAAGATTATACATCATGACCAAGTGAGTTTCATCCAAGGAATGCATGGATGGTTCAAAGGACCCAAAATCCATAAATGTAATACACCACATCAATAGAAAGAAGAAAAAAAAACACATGAACATCTCAATAGATGCAGAAAATGCTTTGAACAAAGTCCAACACTCATTCATGATAAATACCAACAGAGAACTGGAATAGACGATCTGTATCTCAAACTGAGAAAAGCCATCTATGAGAAACCAATTGCCAACATCATACTAAATGTGCAAAAATGAATGCCTTCACTTTAAAATCAGGAACAAGACAGGATGTCCACTCTCCCCAGTCCTATT